GAAGGGCCCGGCACAATGCCATCGGTGCCAAGGGTTCCGGCATTCCTCCAAAGGGTGCCACCGTCCGCTAGCATGCGTGAGATGCGGAGCCCCGCACGCCGCCGCCGACTGCCCGCGCCCACGGTCGGAGCCCGCGACCTGTGCGAACTGCGGCGGGCCTCACCCCGCAAACCACACAAGCTGCCCGGCATTTCGAAAAGAGTGCCGCAATAAGACCGCGTCTACGGTGGCCAAGACGGGCCCCGTTACGAACGCCACTATCCCCAGACAAGAGGTGAGTGAAACCGCACCGGCCACTCTAATGGCCCCGGCAAACGACCCGCCCAAGCGACTGCAGACTGCAGACGGCACTGCGAATGCAGTCAACCGCCGCCGCCGCAAGAAGAGAGGATGACGCGGCGCTTCAAAAAGCGTCACCACGACCCTCCCTACCGCACCCCCGCCACCCACGCAAGCACCCGCACCTACACAGGTACCACCAACTGCGACAGCTGACGCTATAAAGCAACTTTTTGCCGTCACTGAACAGCTCACGCAATGCCTCCGACTACTCACGCCGCAACATTCGCAGCCTTAAGAATTGTTCATTGGAACGCACAATCACTCACTGGGAAGCGACGGTTGCTATTGCATTTTTTGCAGGAGCAAAAAATAGACATCGCCCTGGTGAGTGAAACAAAACTATCTAAGAACACAGTTTTTAAGCTGCCTTACTACAGCATCTATAGACAGGAGGAGACGTCACCCGTGGACGGACGCCCCATCAGAGGGCTGATGGTGATCGTCCACCGAAGGGTGATTCACCAGCCTGCGCCCATAGCGCCGAATAATACACTGCGAGCCCTAGGCATTGACATCCAATTAGGCGACACGGACGTGAGAGTGTACGCGGTCTACCGACCGCCGGGCAGCACGCTTGACATCCGTGAGTTGAGGGGCCTCCTGCGCCCGCTACCTACCATCTTGGCGGGCGACCTCAATGCCAAACATACTGCCTGGCACTCCCTCAGCTGCAACACCACCGGAAGCCGCATTCACCAGGATGCCCTGGACCAGGACTATGAAGTGTCGGGCCCTTCCGAACCGACGAGACACGACCCTGCAGGCCGTGTGGATGACGTTCTGGACATCCTGGTCCACCGAGGGATACCTTCCATCATAGAACAGGAGGTGATGATGGACCTCCCATCCGACCATCGACCGGTGCTGTGTACACTACACAGCCTCCCCGCACGCACGATGCCACCACCACCACGAGTCCGCATCGATTGGGACACGTACCAGCGGACGGCAGCAACCCAAACCACGTCATGCCCCATTAACACCCCAGCAGATGTTGAGGCAGCAGCGGAGGATCTGACCAAGACGATACGCGCCGCACTTTCTTCGGCTACAAGCACCCACTCCAGAAATGGAAGGATACCACCACTCCCGAGTAAGATCAAGGACCTCATAGCCGAGAAACGCGGAGCCCGGCGACTGTGGCAGGACACCCGCTGCCCCACTGCTAAGGCCCGTCTAAACACCCTGACTACCAAGGTAAGACGAGCACTAGAAGACCACGCAGCCCAGAAATGGGACAACCACCTGCTGAGCGTAGGCGATGACATGCCCTCTGCTCACCGCCTATGCAAGCAGCTCACCAAAACCAAGTCGACACCACGCCCCCTCATCGGCACAGACGGCAACCCGCGCTATCGAGCGGAAGACCGCGCCGAACTGCTGGCAGATCACCTGGCTCGCCTCTTCACGCCCAATGAGGCGACGGACAGCGAGCACGTCGAGACCGTGAGGTCTCACGTGATTAGCTGTACGTCGTCTCCACCAGCCGCAGACACAGACCCCATCTTCTTCACGCCCCGCCAGGTGCAACGGGAGATACTGAAGTCCAAACCCCGTAAGGCGCCTGGCCCGGACGAGATCACAAACGCCGCGCTCCGACACCTGCCACCGAAAACCGTAGCTGCCATCACCAGGCTGTACAACGGCATATGCCGCACGGGCCATTTCCCCACCTCTTGGAAGGAGGGTAGAGTGATTCTCATACCCAAGCCGGGGAAAAACCTGTCCCACCCCGAGAGCTACCGGCCAATCACTCTACTCCCCACTTTGTCGAAAGTATTCGAACGACTGCTACTGCCGAAGATGACGCCGCACCTGTACCCCCGTCCGGAGCAATTCGGATTCCGCGCCGGCCACTCCACCACGCTCCAGCTCACTCGAGTGCTCCACTACCTCGCCACCTGTTTCAACAAACGAGAGTACACAGCGCTCGTGATGTTGGACATGGAGAAGGCTTTTGACAGGGTGTGGCATGAGGGGCTGCTATTCAAGCTGTCCAAGTCAACCCTGCCGCTCCGAATACTGATGATCCTCAAATCCTTCCTCACAAACCGCACCATCCACGTGGCAGTCGAGGGAGTATACTCCACCCCACGACCCGTTCAAGCGGGCGTCCCCCAGGGCAGCTGTCTGTCGCCCCACCTATATGCGGCCTACACGGACGACGTCCCCGTCCAAGGGGCCACCAAATTAGCGCTTTATGCGGATGACACGGCCTTTTACGCATCATCCATCCGCCCCGCCCACGCAGCTGCAAAACTGCAACCAACATTAGATGCACTGGAACCATGGCTGATGAGATGGCGCATGCGCGCCAACCCAAGCAAGACGTAGGCCATAATCACCGGCCTCCACCGTGAAAACCCGCCTCCATTAAAATTCCTAGGTGAAGCAGTATCCTGGGCCCCACATGCCAAATACCTAGGAGTTACCATAGACCGCCACCTTACTCTCAACAAGCACGTGAGCAATATTATAGCACAGACGAAAGGAGCCCGCTCACAACTCAAATTCGTATTATGCAGCCGCTTACCTCTCAAAACGAAAGTAAGTATTTACAAAATGTACATCCGACCCTTACTAACATACGCGGCGCCCGCTTGGTTTGCATTACTGTCTGAAACGCAGCGGAAACGAGTACGCGCGCAACAACACCTCACCCTGCGAACCATCACCAACGCGGGCCGCTATGTTAGTAACGCCACCTTACACCGCGATCTGAAGATGGAGCCACTGGACGAGTTTGTAACCCGCCTAGCCCAAGGAATGTATGACGCGCCTGCGTACGAGCGCTCTCATACAAGACGCAACAGGGCCCTCCCACGAGAGCTAGCCCCACCTGAGATGACGCCCCCAATCTCCCGCCCGCGACATACGCAGGCGGTCGAGCAACAACCACCGGACTGACGAAGGCCCCTTGAAACACACGCACACACCTAGATTGTTCAAAAAAAAAAAAAAAAATTATACAAAATATATATAAAACATTAAAAAAAAATAACAAAAGAAAAGAAAAGAACAAAAAAAAATACATAAAACAGAACAAAAAAAAAAAAAAAAAAGGACAATCTAGATACACACATGCATCCACACAAAATAGAAAGACAACACCCTACATGACTATCCAGCCCCCCCCCCCCCCCCACCTCATCACAAGTCCACCGCCTGCTCGCTGGTCGTTCACCGGGCCTCCCACATGGGTCTCACCCGGTGGGCTAGACCGCGCCGAGGGCGGTGGTGAAGACGGAGGGGGAGAGTGGACACTGAAGACCGCTCTGCACGAGGCAGAGTGCGCACCCGATATTTCCAAAAAGACGCAAGTCTAGGGATTCCCCGCACGCCGCGGCGCCTCCGGCGCGAGAAGACGACAACGAGAAATGTGTATTTCGGAAAGCGAAAGCTATTAATCGGATACAATGGATTTTTTACTTAATGGGGATCATTACTAGGTCAGCAAATCAACTCAAAACTAATGGATTTTAAAATACATACAACCTTCATGTAGCTATTTAATCTTTGTACAGTTTGTATTTTAAATTAACAATTTTCTCACTGCGCATTAAATGAAATGTGTATTTCGGAAAGCGAAAGCTATTAATTGGATGCAATGGAGTTTTTACTTAATGAGGATTATTACTAGGTCAGCAAATGAACTCAAAATTAACAGTATAATGATCTATTAAGCTTTTCAATTAATATACTTTTTAAACCATCGAAATCGGTTCATTCGTAACGGTTTTATTACTAATTCTATGGCAGCCAATATTCACAGGCGACCGAAACGTCACAGAGCTCGATCGTGGTTCACTCCGGTCAAACTTTTCACGGTCACCACGCGGCCTGGCGACAATTCGTTTAGTAATTTGGTCATAACTTCGTCAATATTTTTCGTAGAACAAAACTTTAAACACTGTGTTTTATGGAATCCTTAGTTCTATGAATCTGCATTCTCAAATAATCATAAATTACCTATAATAATGTTTTTGTATTATTATTAAAATTTCTAGCTATACAAATATACAACAATGTAAGTATAGGAGGGTGCAAATGGAAAGACTACTTAATTGCACTAAGCAAAAACTGTTTTGGGCCAAAATATATGGTGTTTCAGGAATCGTGTGCTTCTATGGCAGATTTTTATTTAAAGAAGAAAAGTTTGGTTACGCATCGGATTATGAGATAACGTGCCCCGGATCGTTCTATTGGGTAAAAACGTCAATTTAGAACTAAGCAGAAATTCAGAAATTAAATATTGGTATGGTTTTGAAGATATTTCATCAGGTGCTGCTACAGTAGGAATATTTAGTCCATCGACTAGGTGTAAGCAATGCCCGATAGCATATCTAGGTCGACACCACCTTCTAAAGACTGAGCTGATATTTAAGGCGATTACTGAAAACCGCATTGCTCAAAAATATGATATATGGACAATCTGATCAAAATAAAAAAGTATGATGTACTGTAAACGGAATTTATTTACATACCTACAACTATCATTACATAAACATTTAACTGCAATTTGAAAATATATTAAGCACAAAATAATTTTAAACAACAAAATTGAAATCTCAAATTTAACAGTAAATTAAACAAAACAATTATTACTTATATCTTATAGCTATACAATCTTTAATTAAAACTTAAAAGTACCAAAGTGCTTATAATTGTTCACCCTCCTTACAAGTTTTGCTCCTCCAAAACTCCGCCAAATCTTTAAATTTGTCATTAGATTCCCGTCGTCTCCTGGACTGTCTATGACCTGGAGCCTTTAAAATGTTGCTAAATATCTTCACTAGCGCAGTCACAGAATCTTTCGCAGCCTCATCCATAGTAGCGTTTTTATTGACAATACTGACTATAGTACTATTCAACTGCTCGAAAGCCTCTTCTATATATTTGTCCACATCACTGCTTGCGTGTTTCTCTTGGTCGGGATCCACAGTATCATCGAACGATAAGTCTCCACAGGAAAAGCTGCACTGGACTATTTCGTCCACATTTCTCTTAAGGCGAATGGTGCTTGTCGCCGAACACAGTCTCTCGATAGATTTGAAAATGTCGTCGATCTTGGTGCATATGTCTTCCACAGACATTGCCGAGAGGACTTGTCCGCTGACATAGTAAAACTGCTTCCTGGGTATATCCTCGACAGCGTTGTGTTGCAAGTCTTGCAGGAACTCGTTGTAGTCCAACACTGAACTCTTCGACATCTGCCTCGCTACCTTCCGCTTGACTGTCTTGAATAGAAACGACGAATCAAATGTTGACTTTCGTAAGTCTAGTGTACTGAACACGGGTCTCAATTTCGAAGTTGGTATGTCCTCGTCGGTGTCCAAATCCACAGGATTACCCCAAAGCTCTTCCAACTTCCTCCACTGGTCGTTCCTTGAAAGGATATCGTCAACGTCAAGTAGTTTTCTGGTCGTCGTCTCGCGCGTCGCCGGCGCCGGAGGCGCCGCGGCGTGCGGGGAATCCGGTGTAGGATCGCTCCTCTTCGGACGTGTCGGGTGCGCACTCCGTCTCAACGGAGTGGTCGGTTTGGGTCCTTATCTCTCCCCTCTTCGGCTTCACCACCGCCCTCGGCGCGGTCAAGCCCCCCGGGTGAGACCCGTGTGGGAGGCCCGGTGAGCGACCAGCGAGCAGGCGGTGGACTTAGGTTGAAGAGGGAGAGCAGGGCTGGTCAATGTGGTGATGGTGATCGATGTGGGTGGTGGTTGTGGTTAGATAGGATGGTTTTTTTTTTTTTTTTTTTTTTTTGTGTTTATTTTTTATGTGTTTACATATGTTTTTTTTTTTTGACCATTCCAATCTGGGAAGGAATCGGGAGTGGGGTAGTACAGGTGGGGGGGCCCGCCCGCTGTGTTGCGGGCGGGGCCGACGTTACGTAGGTGGCGGTGGCTCGACCGCTCGCGGGGATCGCGAGCGGGAGCTTTGTGGGGCTTCTTCCTGCGGTAGGATCTCCCTAGGGAGGGCTCTGTCGCGGCGGGTGCGGGCGCGCTCGTACGCCGGCGCTATGTCGCGCAGGTGATCGTACGATGAGTGGCTCGCACGGCTGAACATATTAGCGGCTAATCTTTGAATAAATTCGTCAAGGGGTTCAGTACGTAAATCTTTATGTAGTGTGGAGTTGCGGACGAAGTAACCTGCGTTAGTAATTGTTCGCAGGGTGTGATGCTGTTGGGCGCGTAGTCTGTTTCGTTGCGGTTCCGCAACCAGAGCATACCACGCGGGGGCTGCGTAGGTGAGTAGTGGTCTAATATATGTTTTGTATATATTTACTTTAATTTTGATTGGCAGGCGGCTACGCAAAACTGGGCGTAGAAGTGCTCTGGCTGCTTTTGCTTGGGACACCGTGTGTTGGACGTGTCGACGGAGGTTGAGGCGGCGGTCGATCGTGACTCCAAGGTATTTGACCTCGGGAGCCCACGAGACCGGCCTGCCTAAGATGGTGAGTGGTGGCGGGTCTGACCGTTGAGAGCCGACGAGTAGTGCTTGAGTTTTACCTACATTAACTCGTATGCGCCATTTGTCGAGCCAGGGCGTTAAGGCGTCGAGTGTGGGTTGCAGTTTGGCGGCGGCATGGTGGGGGCGGATGGACGAGCTAATGTAGGCGGTGTCGTCTGCATATAAGGCGAGCCTTACATCGCCGACGACCGGGACGTCGTTTGTGTAGACTGAGTAGAGGTGGGGCGAGAGGCAGCTGCCCTGTGGGACCCCAGCTAGGACTGGGCGCGGCGTTGACAGCGCGTTCTCAACTGCTACCTGAATGCGACGGTCGGCGAGGAAAGAAGCAATTATTTTTAGTAATCGGAGTGGTAGCTGAGCCTGTTCGAGTTTATAGAGTAGGCCTTCGTGCCACACTCTATCAAAGGCCTTTTCTATGTCGAGCAGTACAACAGCGGAATATTCGCGTTTGTTTGTGCGTGTAGCGAGGTAGTGAATAATTCTAGTTAGCTGGAGAGTCGTCGAGTGCTCGGCCCGAAAGCCGAATTGCTCTGGGCGGGGCTGCAGGTATGGGAGCAGTTTCGGTAGTATTAGGCGCTCGAAAACTTTCGAGAGCGTGCACAGCAGGGTAATGGGCCGGTAGCTGTCCGGGCGAGAGAGGTTCTTTCCCGGTTTGGGGATCATAATCACCCTGCCTTCTTTCCACTTGGTGGGGAAATGTCCTGTGCGACATATTCCGTTGAATAGCCGGGTGACAGCTGCTATTGTTCGTGGGGGTAGGTGGCGTAGGGTGGCATTGTCTATGGCGTCTAATCCGGGTGCTTTTCGTGGCTTACATTTGAAAATTTCTCTCCTTACCTCCTTTGGTGAGAAAAATATCGGCTCGGTATGAGTATCTAGCGGCGACGACAGACAGCTAATCACGTGCGACCTTACGGTCGCGGTGTGCTCACTGTCTGTCGTGTCGTTGGGCGTGAAGAGGCGCTCTAGGTGATTGGCCAACAGCTCAGCGCGGTCTTCGGCGCGGTAGCGCGGTAGGCCGTTTTCATCCGTGAGTGGGCGTGGTGTCTTTGGGGTTCGTGGGGCGAGTTGACTACATAGGCGGTAAACAGATTGCATGTCTCCGCCCACGCTTAATAAGTGTCGGTCCCACGATGCCGTTGCTTGGTCGTCGAGCGCACGCTTTATTTGCGTCGATAGTGCATTCAGTTGGGTTTTTGTTGTGGGGCAGCGAGTGAGCTGCCAGAGCCGCTGCAATCTGCGCTTTTGTGCAATCAGTGCTTTCGTCCGGTGCGGGAGGGGGGGGGCTCCCCTCCGCGGCCGGGCGGGTGCGGGTTGATGTTCTTAACGCGGATTGTATCGCGGTTGTGAGCTCACTTAATGTCGCTTCGACGTCATCTGAGGTGTATATTGGCCGGGTCGTTGTGACATTGCTTACCGTTTTTTGGAAGGCGTTCCAATTTACAGTTGCACGCGGAGTGGGAGGCATCACGCGTGTTGGAAGCATGCTCAGAGTGCATAGAACAGGGCGGTGGTCGGAAGGGAGGTCAAGCATTACCTCCTGTGTAATGAGACCGTCTATGTCGCGGTGGACTATGATATCGAGGACGTCGTCGACTCTTCCCGCCGGGTCGTGCCGTGTTGGCTCGGAGGGACCCGATACCTCGTAGTTATGTTCGACGGCGTCTTGATAAATAGTGCGGCCAGCTGGGTTAATGGTGGTGGCATGCCAGGCGGTGTGCTTTGAGTTAAGATCGCCCGCCAGGATGGTGGGTAGCGGGCGCAGGAGCTGTCTTAACTCAACAATGTCGAGTACGGAACCCGGCGGTTTATAGACCGCTTAAACTCTCACCTCATTTCCGCCGAGCATCAGGTCAATTCCGAGGGCGCGCATTGTGGTGAGATGCGCAGGGGGTGCAGGCTGGTGGATGATTCTGCGGTGAACAAGGACCATTAGACCCCTAATGGCCACTCCGCTGCTAGGTGACGTTTCATCTTGCCTGTAACTGATGTAGTTAGGTATTTGAAATTTTGTATTGGGGGCCAGTCTAGTTTCGCTCAGTAGGGCGACGTCCACGTTGTGCTCGCGTAAAAAATGTATCAACATGCGGCGTTTTTTACCGAGCGCTTGGGCGTTCCAATGAACAAATTTTAGGCCTGCGAATTTTGTTTGACTATGTTAATGAGGCCTTGTTGGAATTGCTCGGTGAGAGCGAGCAGGCGTTGCATGGTGTCATTGCTTGTTATTGTACTTACAGGCGCCGACTGTGATTTGGGTGGTGGTTCCGTATGTAATTTTTCGGTACCTCCTTTAGAGGCAGTGCGTCGTCCCCTTTTCTTCTTGCGACGGCGTTGTGAGGTAGCGGTTCCAACATGGGCGGGCGGCGCATTGGCGGGGGCCATAAGTGTGGCCGGCGCGTGTTCGCTTACCTCGTTTCTTTGTATCGTTGCATTTGTGATAGGGCCTGTCTTGGCCACTGTAGTCGCGGTCCTGTTGCGGGCCTCTTTTCTTAGGGCCGGGCAGGTCGAGTGGTTTGCCGGGTGAGGTCCGCTGCAGTTAGCGCAGGTCGCGGGCTCCGACCGTGGGCGCGGACAGTCGGCGGCGGCATGTGGGCCACCGCATCGTACACAGGCGAGTGGGCGGTGGCAACCCTTGGATGAGTGTCTAAACCCTTGACAGCGGTGACACTGGGCGGGCCCTTTCTTACCTCGCCAGGCCTCAATCGTCACCCCTGTCATGTTGAGCAGCTCTTTCGTCTCGTAAATGGTTGGGATTGTGTTTGGCAGTCGGTTTAGTGCAGCGAAAAAGATGCAGCCTGGGCGGCCGGCGCGGGCTCGTATTCGCTTGACGTGCTCGCATTGCATGCCCCTCTCCGCCAGGGCCTCGACAATGTGAGCCGGTTCTGTATTAAATGGTAGCCCACGAATGGCCACCTTGAGGCTCCTTTCTTCTGGTAGTGCATACGAGTACCAGCTCAGTCCCCCCAGCCCCTCTAGGTCTGTGAGGTAGGCTTGTATAAGCCGGTACTCGTTTGCGTCGTCGGGAGTGAAGCGAACCCCCACGCCGAATGGGCGGGCGTTTGGTGCCCTTCCTAGTTTTTCCCTGATGGCTCGGAAGTGGGTTGGCCAGTCGGGCAGGTGTTCTACTACCAGGGGAGGGTACTTACGGTCCCTTTTCGTTGTAGGGGCAGTTTCGGTCGTCTGGTTGGTTGGGCGGGCGGCGTCATCTTGGGCGGGCGGTGCTTTCGTGGTTTGGGCGGCTGTCGTGGTGATAGGTGGATTCAAAGAAGAACTTACGGTTTTTGCATAAGTGCTTGTGGGTGGGTAGTCGGGTAAATTTTTTTCTCCGGTTACCTTCGCAGCTGATTTTGTTGGAGTGGGAGAGGTGATCACCCGTTTCGCTCGCGGTTCTCTTGGATTCGGCGGGGCGGGTGTCTGTGAAATCTTTGTTGAGGGTACCGGTGTCGTCAACATCGGGGTGGGTGGTGGCGGCGGCGTTTTTGCGGGGGTGGTTTGCGGTTCCTCTAGAGCTTCCGGTGTGTCCCCGCTGCTGTGTGATCGCCTGAGCAGCCGTGGATCGCGCGAGCAGGCGCGTTTGTCCGGCGTTTCGGGCGGCGTCGCGGTGTCCCGGGTGCGTTTTCGCTGCCACGGGAGGTCAGTTTTCGGCAGCTGAGGTGGTGAGCCGCTAATGGCCCGCAACGCCTCCTTTGCCAACACATCGGCTGGACACAGAGCCTGTGTCTGCCCCGTTTCGTATTCCAGCAACCGAGCATAGGAGGCCAGCCAGCGATTCAGCCTGTCCGACAAATGGCCGGTGCGGATTATCAGGGCGATCATCACTACGTCAAATTCATATTTGGCTAGTGTGGATCTCCGGACGGTCCTGGCCGGTTCGCTGGCGGTTCCCTCGGTCGCTGCAGTA